AAAATGCTTCATAGAAAGATTAGTTTCTTATTTCCTCTCTAGGGAAAGACATTTACTAGAAAAATTACAGCAGCTTTTCATCAATATGATCAAAGGCCAGGGAGGTCTTTCCATTTCTCTAAACCAGGGATGGGTAAAGTCTCTGTGTGGGGGCAGGTGTAAGGTGCCTGCAGTAACTACTCGACTCTGCTGTGGTGACATCAAAGGAAACATAGACAATGCCTAAATGAAAGAATGTTGTTGTGTTCTAGTAAAACCTTATTTACAAAAACNAATGGGACAAGATGACATTATTTACATGAATGTAAAGTTGTTTTCCAGCCAACCCCAAGCTACAGACTTGCACATACAATCCAAGTAAAAACTAAGGAGGACCTTAATAAAGCTATGCTGATTTCATCCCCTCCAGCAGGACCAAGAGATAGGAGCAGGGACAAAAGCAGACACCAGATGGAGATTCTGCACCTGAGACCTTGCATAAAACCCTTGCTGCTCACATGTCCCTCCCTCCTGCTTTTCATTTTCCCACGTTCCATTCCCTCAACCCCCTCTTAAAAACTTCTCAGTAAACCTGAGTCCTAGAGATGACTTTAGATTGGCCATCCTCCTTGAGGTTCACTGGAGAGAAGGGTTAGCTTAACATCTCTCCTCAGGTCATTGGTATTCCTAAATAAAAGCTGACTTCCATTTTCACCAGCATTTGATTTTTGAATGGTTTGCTTTTGTCTGCGGACAGGCAGCCAGACCGGTGAGTTTGGTAACAATTTGGGGGAGCCACAGCCAGGAGCTGAATGTGTCCTGTAATATTTTAAAGGACAAAAACACACTCATATCAACTAGGATTCCATTCAATATCTTTAAATTTTATATTAATATAAGGGTGACTAAAGAGAAAAATATTTATAAAAATGGGAGTTCTGTCCTTATCCAGAAGAACTGACAAAATTTCTAAAATGGAACCCTTAAGACTGCAAGCTTCAGGGATTCATCCTGAGAATGTGAGTGGGAGAAAGTGTCTCTCTCAGACAGTTAGGTGTGAGTGATAAGAATGCTTCACAAATAAATACGTGATTACAGAGTAAGTAAATGCTGGGGAGGAAAGGGGCCATCTGAGATATAACAGGTTGAACTCACCAGGGGTCAAATCAAAATCAACTTTGAAGAAATAATCCTTATTCCATGTGTCAAATGTCTCATCGTAAATCCTTTCAATATAAAAAAGTGTGGGCAGGCCATTGAACCTGATCTGTACTTCCTTTGCCATAATTAGCTGAGGAAAAAAAGAAGCCAACAACTTAGACAAGACACATTTTCTAAAATCAATGACTCCAGGCTTTTGTACCCTACCCTACCTCTCCTCAGTCCAGGACTGGATATTTAGTCATTAGGGTGAATAGTCCAGAGACCTCACAAATCAGTGCGCATGTGGCCCATTTGCCTGTTGAAGGATCAGTATACAAAATTCAACTGTATACTGTGAACTTGCTAAATCCACTTACTTTTAAAAGTTTTTATTAGATTCTGTTGTATCTTCTAGATAAAAAATCATGTTGTCTGCAAAGAGGGGTATTTTTATTTTTTGCTTTCTGTTTGCTATGCCTTGTATTTCTTTTTCTTGCCCTATTAGATGGCCTAAGATCTCAAGTAAGGTAGTGAATAGTATTAGTGAGATTAAATGTCCTTATCTCTTTTCTGATCTCAGAGAGAAAGCATTTAATCTTTCACCATTAAGTATTATGTTAGAGGTTTATCAATTTTGCTGATTTTTGTTTTGCAAAGAATCAGGTTTTGGTTTCACTGATTTTCATGAATTTATTATTATTATTTGGTTACTTATTTGTTTATTATTTTCAACATCATACATGTCTGCTGTTTTGTTTTTTCTTTCTTTCCTTCCTCTCGATTTAGGTTTAATTCATTCTTACTTTTTGACTTTCTTAAGGTGATAGCTAATCCAAATTACAGCATGTAGGCCAAATCCTGACAACCACATGTTTTTGTACATAAAGTTTTATAGAATATAGTCAACCTTACTTGTTTACATATTGGCCATGGCTGCTTTTGCAACTCAATGGCAGAGTTTAATCATTGTAGCAGATACTATATGGACCACAAAATCTAAAATATTTACTATTCACAAAGAAAGTCTGCCAACCACTGGCTTTGATTTTTGCTTTGACCTTTTTCCTCATTTTAAAAATAAGATTTAAGGCTACATACTAGCTGCATGCCATAAATTGTGATTTGTTGTATTTTCATTTTCATTTAGTTCAAAATATTTTCCACTTTACCTTGAAACTTCCTCTTTGGGCCATGTATTATGTAGAAGTATGTTGTGGTTTTACTTTCACTAATTTTTTCAATATTTTCTTGAAACTTCCTCTTTGAGCCATGGTTTATTCAAAAGTATATTGGTAATTTCTAAATATTTGGAGTTTTTTCATCTATATTTTTATTAATTTCCAGCTTAACTCCATTACAACCAGAAATCACATTGTATATGATTTCACTACTTTTACATTTGTTAAGGTTTGATTAATAACTCAGGATATGGTTTATTTTGTTGAATGCTTCATGTGCACTTGAAAAGACTATGTATATTGCTATTGTTGGGTGGAGTGTTGTTTAAATGTCCATTAGATGCTATTAATTAATAATCCAATTCTTCTATATCCTTGCTGATTTTATGTCTACTACTTCTATTACTAAGAGAGGAGTATTGATTTTTCAACTATAATTATAAATTTGTCTACTTCCCTTTTCAGTTACATCAGTTTTTTCTTCTGTATTTTGAAGTTCTGTTGTTAGTTGCACATGCATTTAGAATTATCAAGTCTTCTCCCTGAACTGTCCCTTTGATCAATATGTAATATCTCTCTATCCCTGATAACTTCCTTTGCTCTGAAGTCTATCTTGTTTGATTTTAATACAGCCACTCTAGTTTTCTTTTAATTTGCATCTTTGTGGTAGTCTTTCCCCATTCCTTTGCTTTTCAACTACTGACATCATTATATTTGAAGTGACTTTCTTATAGAAAGCACATAGCTAGGTCATTTTTTTTTTTTTCAATCCAGTCTGACAAATTTTTTTAGTGGTTTGTTTAGACCACTTACATTAGAAAGCACATAGCTAGGTCATTTTTTTTTTTTTTTCAATCCAGTCTGACAAATTTTTTTAGTGGTTTGTTTAGACCACTTACATTTAACACAGTAATCAATATGTTTGGATTTAAGTCTGACATTTTATTATTTGTTTCCTGTTTATTCCATCTTTTTCCATTTTTGTTTCCCCTTTCCTGAACTCTTTGGGATTATATGAATATTTTTTTAGTGCTCCATTTTCATTCATCAATTGTGATTTTGACTATATCTTTTTGTATAAGTTTTCAGTGGTTGCTGCAGAGGTTACAACATGCATAGTTAACTTTTCACACTCTATTTAGAATCAATATTTTACAACTTCCATTGGAAC